GTCAGTCAGTCAGTCAGTCAGTCAGTCAGTCAGTCAGTCAGTCAGTCGTATTTATGTAGCACCTTTCAAACAATACAATGTAAAGTAGTTTACAAATGATTAACGAGACTGAAACAAGACAAACATTGAGAGAAGAAGAAGAGACTAGTGCACACCGAATTAAGTTAAGAAAAATAAATAAATAAATAAAATGCAACACAGAATACATTGATAACAACATTGGTAAAACAGTAGAAAAGTCAAATTATAAAATGTATACAAACTACAACCACAGCATAAACAGCCAGTAGAGAGTGTATAAAACCAGACGTAACATAAAGTAGTCGTAGTGAAGACGTGATGAAACCAGTGGTGGAAGAAGGTCTAACAGGTGATTGGCTGTTTACACCTTAAGACCTTTCTCCTCTCAGCCAATGGCTGCAGAGATTACCTCTCCACTGAGCTGCAGGACAGATGACCTCAATCTCTTTCTTCTGTCTCTGCTGAACTCTTCCATATGTTCTCTCTGTCCATCTCTCTGTTTATCAATCCTTGTGTCTCTCCTCTTCCTCTCCTCCTCCTCATCTGTCAGGATGTCTGACTCTCTGGATTTGCACCAGATCTCCTGTTCTTTAGGAGTTGGGGTGGTGAGTTTAGCCAGTTAGCTTCTCATTCATTAGCCCGAGTCACGCTTCACCAGCTCAAGCAGCTCTCACAGGGGTCGGCCTGTTAGCGCGTTAGCTCGTTAGTTAGCCTGGTCATCTCTTTGCTGACCTGCTGTTAGCTGGTTTACTTTCATGTGTTGCGCTTGAGTTGTATGATGGAGAGACAATAAACAGTCAAAGTTTATTCATAATGCTTTCCATTAAAGCACGTTTCATCCCCAGAGAAAGATGTAAGAAGTGTTTTGTTTTGTACCAATTTAAAGATATTTTACAAAAGAGAAGGAAAAAGAAAGAACACAACAAAGTGGGGAATGCATTTTCTTACCGTCTTAATGTCCAAAATGTCCTTTAGATTTGTTTAATAAGTCAAACAACCAGGGACGTTTTACAGGAATGAACACGTTCCATACAAACATGTTCAGGTAGGAAATGTGGTAACGAACTACCTGTGTCAACATGTTTCCACCTGTAACCAGATGAATGTGTGTTTCATGGTGCGTTCAGGTGCTCCTGGGATGGTCCCGAGCTTTAAGTCGTAATGTGGAAACAACAAAGGAGATTCATGTTTTCTGAAACTATTTGAAGCTTCAAATTCATGATTTTGTCCCAGAGTTGTTGCTTTAGATTACTAAAATATTGCTCTACCTAATAACTCGCTCTACGTGAACAGCAACGGTTAAAACCTAATGAGCAAAAACACCTGGATTTTCCCAATCGGGAGCAAATTTTTCCCATTATTCCGGCACCACCTGAAGGCACCATAAGCACACGGCCTCAGATCGGTGACCACATGACATCATAAGTGATTTATAAACAAGTTGAACAAGACTGCAACGTCCCATGATGATGATGATGATGATGTGGTGCATTCAAGTGCACATTCATCTGTTTGTTGTTGTGGAAATACAAACATCTGGTAAAACCATTGCTGCTTCAAGCTGTTCTTGTTGATGTTTTGTTTACTCGTGTTAAAATGGACGTTTAGAGTTAGTTCACCCTCGAGCCTCCTGCTGCTGCGTGACAGGATGATGTTCATCTGTTGTTGTTGTTGTTGTTGTTGTTGTTGTTGTTGTTGTTGTTGTGTTCAGGAGCACGACGTGGAGACGTCCCACGGTGTGCTGCACGTCACCATGAGGGGGGCTGCTAAAGGCAACCGACCCACAATCCTCACCTACCACGACATCGGACTGAACCGTGAGTAACACCACAGAGTTACAGAGACAACACACAGCAGACACAATGACTTACTGTGTGTGTGTGTGTGTGTGTGTGTGTGTGTGTGTGTGTGCGTGTGTGTGTGTGTGTGTGTGTGTGTGTGTGTAGATAAGTCTTGTTTTAACAGCCTGTTTAACTACGAGGACATGCAGGAGGTGACGCAGCATTTCTCAGTTCTGCATGTTGATGCTCCAGGACAACAAGAGAATGCTCCAGTGTTCCCCACCGGGTAACACACACACACACACACACACTCCACTGGAGACACAGGAACTGTTGCCACCACAGGCTTAATCGTCGTCAGCCCGATAGCCGATGGGTTTTTAAGGTTGCCCAAATTTTGTCTTTGATCTTGACTTTGATTTTATATTGGCTGAATATTTGAAGCTGCTGCTCAATTAGGCAGATAAATGTGCTAAAGGACGGACAAACTACAGGTAGTTTAGATGCTGTTTGTCAGCTTTGTTCGCAAAATATTGACTATTGATTGGATGTCAAGTTCAGATGGATTAGAATCAAGATGCTGGAATTCAAACCCTCATGTTTACACATGTACACGTGTGTGTGTGTGTGTGTGTTTGTGGTGTGTGTGTACAGGTACCAGTACCCCACCATGGATGAGCTGGCTCAGATGCTGCCGTCTGTCCTGAAACAGCTTCAGTGAGTCCGCGGTCTTCTCTGTGATGCATGATGGGTATTTTAGTAGGAAGAGACGGTTTGTTAGTTCACCCTGATTATGTGTGTGTGTGTGTGTGTGTGTGTGTGTGTGTGTTGTCTTCAGGGTGAAGAGTGTGATTGGTATCGGCGTTGGAGCTGGAGCCTATGTCCTCACCAAACTGTCTGTGAGTATCAACATTTGTTTGTTTGTTGTTTGTATTTAATGTGATGTATTTATTGTTATTTGTTCTGTATTACGTGTGTTCTACGGTTGTGTTTCAGCTGAATGAGCCCACTCTGGTGGAGGGGTTAGTTCTGATTGACGTCGACCCCTGTGCTAAAGGCTGGATGGACTGGGCCGCCTCTAAGGTGTGTCACACACACACACACACACACACACACACACACACACACACACGCACATGCAGTTGAAGTGTCAGCTGAAGTAAAAAGGGATGAAAGCAGTTGAAGTGTCATATTAAAATGTTACGTTTTTGTTTCCTGCAGCTGAGCGGCTGGACGAGTAACCTGGTCGACATGATCATGGGGCACCACTTCAGCACTGTGAGGACAAACGAGAACCATCGCTTCATAAGAACAATTTATCATTCGCCACTGAACCGTTAACTGTGTGTTTGTGTGCAGGACGAGCTAACGGAGAACAAGGAGATCATCCAGACGTACAGACTCCACATCTCTCAGGATGTACCGCTGGACAACCTGGCCATGTTCTACAACAGCTACAGCAGGTAGGACACAGGTAGCTGGTCGGTAGCCATGTTGGCTTTTATGAGGAACTGGTGAGGACGAGTCAACGCTGAGACAGGGAACTAAATATTACATTTACATTATATTATTGTGTCTCAGTGACTAATGGGGACAACGATGTTTTGGTCAAAGCTTCATGTGTTAAAGCTGCATTCTCTCTAGTGTCCACCA